CAATATAACAAAGAGTGAAAAATTGAAGGGGGTCTGAATACTTTCCGTACCCACTGTATATATGTACTGTAAATGATCTCTGTTATGATTGTATAAATGCTTCGCATATGACACTGTAGTTCATACAGGCGTTCGTTATTGCTGAATATTGAACAGTAAACATAGTTCATGGTTACGACAGTTTTAAATGATTAAACAATAAACCAAGTGATGAAAAAACATACAAACAGTGTTTTAACTTGTTCGTATATACTATGACGAACTAAAATTCACCAAAACACCAGCTGATTACAAGTCACGAAGCAAAAATGAAGAAGAAGAGTGAAGAGAGAAGCTCTGTTTGTGGATACCACTTATTGATCATTTATATTTTGCATCAAATGCAATAAAATGCATGCATTGTAAGTGCTGAAGTGATACGTTTTGAGACCGCATCATTCTCACGCAGCTCTCATTAGTCTAGAATGGCCTTCGTTGTGTTTATAACGGCCGATGTAATGTCAGTTTTTGCCAGTTTAAAGCCATGACCAAACTAAGACAGGTCTGTGTTTTAGACGTCTTCCTCACCTCTCAAACTCTATCTGGAGCAGTCTCTCCCTCTCCAGGATAGCCACATGTAGACGCCCCCATCCCTTCTCAACGTCAATGGGATGATAACCAGGAGGAACCTTAACCTGACCAGCTTGGACCGCGCTCTGTGAGGAAATGGTGGTAAATCATGTTAAGACAGAGGAAACATAACATTATACAGATTTAAAACACGTAAAAGGTTTTCACATCTCATGTTTCATGTTTAAATCTCCATGATTGTAGCACAATATACTGTATTCTGATCGTGTGTACAAACCTCAAAGGACTGGTAGAGGTGTTTGGAGCAGCTCTTGTCCGACTCTTTTGCGGGAAGCTCTGTTTCTTTCAATTTCAGAAACTGACGCCACAGAATCTGCAATATAACCACACAAGCAAATTAATAAATAAACACACACAGACATATAACACAGTGCAATAATTTGGGAGTAACAGGGTTACTATCATTAACTAAGACTAAACCATACTAAAACCACATCTTCATTCTTTTAAATAAAATAGACTTTAACTGTAATAAAACGTAAAATACTGAAAAAGAACCTTGTAACCTATTTTATTTCAGCTGAAGTACTAAAATAACAAAACTAAAACTTAAAAACTAAAAGAACTGTCTGTAACACTTTATAATAAACTTCCTTAGTTAACCTTAGTTAACTACATTAGTTAACAAGAACTAACAATAAAAATGTTTAAACTTGTATCTATTAAGTTAACTGAGGCAAAAATCGTGGTTAATAGTTAGTTAATAGAGAGAATTGGTCCCCAAACAAAAGTGTGACACATATTTAATATTTACTATTTAATGAACCTGAGCTAACATGAACAAACAATGAACAGGCGTATTTTTATTAACTAACATTAACAAAGATTCATAAATACTGTAACAAATGTATTGTTCATTGTTAGTTAATGCTAGTGCAATGCATTAACTAAGGTTAACTAAGGAAGGTTGTTGTAAAGTGTTAAAAATGACACACACGTTACTAAAACTTTAAGATTAAAATGAAAGCAGAACATATCAAAATAATACCAAAAACTATAATAGCATATCACTGACAGTAAAATAACACTAAGGGGTAACAGCGTAGTAATCAGCATATGCTGGAATATCAAGCGTGACCCTCGATAACCCTAAGCAGGTAGATCTGGATGGTTCAGTGAGTATTTGTCATTTGTTATTCCTCTAGCATGATTGAGGATAGGCTTCACAAAGCAGGTAATATAAGTAGCTGCTCTCAGATCAGGATGATATGTATCACACAGCTGCCCAACGCTGATGAGACAGCCATAGAAACTCAGACAAAGCAGCTCAGAGCCAGAACGCTGCTCTTCATGATGCGGTGTCATGTGACATGACTCATGCTCTGCAAAGAAGGATTTCTTCCAGTAACATGCCATCGGATGAGGAGGATAGGGTTCTCTCTCTGCTATTGGCAGTGTTGGGATCGACTTTTACATTGTTTGCAAAGCTACAAGTTAATCACAGGTATATTTTTTAAAGGGGTGGTTGATTGCGATTTCACTTTTTTAACGTTAGTTAGTGTGTAATGTTGCTGTTTGAGCATAAACGATGTCTGCAAAGTTACGGCAAACGTTAAAGTTATTCAAACGGAGATACGTCTTTTAAAATGCTGGCAGTTTAATGCCTACAAAAATGGCTGGTAGGGACTACAACGAACTACATCCCGGGATCGTTACGTCACAAACCCAGAAAGTTACATAAACCCCGCCCCCTTTTTTGCATTTTCCCGGGGGCGGGGTTTATGTAAATTTCTGGGTTTGTGACGTAACGATCCCGGGATGTAGCCATGTTGTGCGGCTTTAGAGAAGTTCCCGGACAACGTGCAGTACACAGTTAACGAATCACAACAAACTGGGCCAGCTAACCAGTCTGAGCCCATTGCGTATTTCTGAGGGAGTGGCATCATAGAAACAGGAAGTCAACCGGCCATTCAAATGACAATGGAGACAGCGTCTTACAATAAAGGTTAAAATATATGAAAAACAAGGCGTTTTTTTTTTAAATAAAGCATAAAGACATGTTACATGTCATGACATGCAATTCTGACTTTATAACTCAAAATTTTGACTTTATAACTCGCAATTGCGAGTTTATATCACGCAATTCAGACTTTATAACTCGCAATTCTGACTTTATACCTCGCAATTTTGACATTATAACTCGCAATTCAGACTTTATAACTCGCAATTCTGACTATATAACTCGCAATTTTGACTTTATAACTCACAATATTGACATTATAACTCGCAATTTTGACTTTATAACTC